ACGTATTTCATGTGTACATCAGCTAAGACAGATGGGCTCTTCCTAACTTTTGACTTTCGGGCATTAAGGAAGAAGCCGACTATGGCAGCTGTGTTGCATGCGGAAGTAGTCAGGTGAGAGAGCCAGCTGTCCGAATCATTTACCATGACAGTATCACCTGCGTACAACAGGTCAGCAAGAAATGTAGCCGGACACCTTAGACTGCGCCTTGCCTCTAAGATAAGGTCTTCGTCTTTGCCAGAGTCAATTATGTTTCGGAGAAAAAGCTCGAGAACAATACTGAACAGCAAAGGCGAAAGTACATCCCCTGGCGAACTTCACAGTTAGTAAGGAATCACTCAGGTAGTCCTCCTTCGACATTAACATAATTCCAGTATACATCTCTTCCAACATGGAAACTATGTTTCATAGAATTTCAAAAGCTTCTACACTGTCAGATAATGGAGAGAATCAAATTTTGCTTTAAGGTCGAAGAAACTGCCAAGTCAAGGCAAGTGGGGTCGTCGGCATTACTAAGTGACCACAGGAAGGCTGAAAATTTGGTCGTGGCAGCAATAGCTTATATCCGGGTACCTGCTAGATTTGGGCAATCAGTTTTGCTTCATTTGGCAAGTTTCCTCTCAACTGCCTGTCTGAGTCTTTCCAGGGTACTCGAAGAAAAGAGTTTCGGTACTCGAGGTAGACAGTAGTGTGATATCACGAACCTTTGGAATAAGAAGGGTTGAAGATAAAGTTGGTCGGTAAAATGCCACACAAATGCAGTTTAACTAAAAAGTCAGCCCTACTTCAGACATCAGGACGCAGAGGAGGCTATTTAGTATACCACAACATAACTGTTTCGATATCATTTTGCAGTGGGACGAAAAATTTAGTATCGAGACTTGCATTCATTCACTTGTCAGGTCTGCTATACCTTACGAGTCGTGGAAGTAACTGCTTTAGGACGCCTATTCAGTGTATCCGATCCTCCGCCTAATAGGTAAGTTCTATCGGCTGAATTCTAAAGCGCGACAATAACTCCTCCATAACTGAGCCATTTTGTCTACGTTCTGTCCGAAAATCATCTTCCATGTAGTTGCACGAAATGAATCGAACGGGTCATGTCAAAAGCGAAATTCAAGATGTCGGATGCAGGTGGCGTCTTGGTACAGTTGTCTAAAAGGTCTGCTTCGAACTCCAGACACGCGGGGTTCGATTCCGCTCGAGGGCAATCTTCGTCTGCTTCACGGGATTGCTCAGACGGTAAGGCGTCGAACCCAGAACTGATAGTCCTGAATTTAAGCGCCGGTCAAGGTCATTCGCTGTTCATTCTTCCGAGGTTGATTATGAGTAACACTCTGTGTAAAGGAAACGCAAGAGAACACGATCCGCTTGCCACATGGCTATAGACCGTGCCTTAAAAAAATGGTACTTCTGGCTGATGGCATCCAAAGAAAGATAAGCACCGCACCATCAAGTTCAACATGAAAAGAAAGGCGCCAAATGGCCAAATCATGAATGAAAGCAGACATTCCAACGTTGATA